ATCTAAGAGGGAAAAAAAAGTGCAGCAGTAGTTATGATGCCATTGTATCTCATTCTAGATTTTTGCCTTTCTCTGTCCTGTGTTCTGTTGAACAAAATACTTTTCACTAACTTGTTTACTTTGTGCTGTTGTTTTTTACAGTGAGAGTTAAGTGCCAGGTTAGTTTTCACCTTTGATATTAATGATTCTGTTTATGAGCAAGAAGAATCATTAGATGACTAACGTAACACTTAAACTCATACTTTAATGTCAGTTTTGTATACAAGGTATTATTCAATGTAACAGCACTTTTAAAGGCTGACATTTTACACTTTGCAAGAGCAAGGAATTATTTTTTCTTTTTGTTTTTTTTTCTTTTTTTAAAAGCTGTAAGTTTTCTCTCAGTTGCTCACTACAGTAATCTGGAAGCTATGCTTCGAAAGAACGGAGCACAGTTCCTTGAAAGAAAAACCCCACCAAGGTGGAAGAGAATTGTCATTTATGATTAGTGTGAACTTAGCAAGGAACAACGAACAGACGTGGATCAACTTGTAACAGTGGAGTCCTTTGTAGCAAAATGTAAGGGGTCACACAACTGTGCTATAGGATTCTGTCATGCAACAGGTATCTTGGAGATGCTGCAATCCTCTTTCAGGATATCAAAGTCCATGATATGAACTTCTTTAAAAAGAGCATTTAAGTTCCTTTATGCTTTTTCCACCATGAAATCTATAATTTGTACTTACGATAACTCAGACAGAAGATATTATGCATTCTCTGTCAGTATTACTGCCAAAGACATGGTGGTACATTTACTCATTTTTAAAAAAACGCATTGTGTGTATTAATGAGTTCTGCTTCAAGTTGTGTAAATCACCCAAACTGTGATACGGGACTCTTCATACATTCACCTTGTACTGAGAGAGGATGAAAAATTAGGGCTTATCAAAACCCGTGTGAGAGAACATTCAATTTAAGTGAATGACATTAAATGGAAATTTATAATTCAAAAGGATAAAATATTATATTACGTATTATGAAAATTGATACTCGGTTTGTGAAATATATTTCAAAATCACAAACCCAGTAACTCAAGTCAACAATCAGTAAATTGGCAACAATAAATTTTTTATCTAAAACTGTAGTGGGCACTACTATGACATGCTTGTGTCGTTTGGTGTTCATTTGTATTTTACTGAGAGGAGTCCAACCCGACATAAGAAATCAGTATAGAAATTGCATAAACATACAGTAAAATCAATTATTTCCTTCTTTCCTTTCTCCGCTGTATTTCATATTCTGAATTAGACCAATGAATATTATCACACAGAATATTCCAAAATGATCACCTCACTTCTTCCTGATGTAACTCAACAGTTTTATTAGCTGGATGCTTCAGAGACTTGTAAATAAAAAGTGTTATAACACCTGCTCCAGGGTTTTGAGAAGCAATTGAGCCAAAACAAAAATCAGGCAATTTGCTCCAAGCCTGAGTTTCTCTGTACTGAAAAATAAGTCCAAAGATCCCATCAGAGAATTTAAAATCTTACTGCTGAGAGAGCATCCCTTCTCTAAGGAGCTCTTGAATCATAATTAAAGTGAAGAAAGATAATTACAATGTGTTAGAAACATTTCTTCCAGAAAGGATTTTAACATAACCAGGCAGCCTCAGAAACACATAAGCATAGCCTCTATGGACTGTACCTCAAACACAAGATTTGTTCCACTGGTTAACCACAACAGAAAGAATTTAATCCACCAGATCCTTCTCAGACTACCTTTCCTTTTAAATTATCCACATATTTAGGAAGACATAACAAGTTTCCTCAAAAAATCTACAGTGCACAGAAATAAGCAGTGGCAAATAGGTAATGAACAAGGTCAGGTTTTTCGTTATCTTTCTTTAGATAATTCTAATTCTGAACTCCCGAATACTGCACAAGGAATAATAAAGTTGCCTCTACTACCAGCACAATGGGAAATGGGTGGGAAAGTCCAAGGTTTAAAAATATTCCCTGAAGACAGCCACAGCTGACTGTCAATCAGGAGCACCAGGAAACAGGCAGACAGAACTGGGCAGAGTACAAAAGAGTGAGAGTACAAAATGATGCGAGATTGCTTTCAAAAACTTTCAATTAACTCAGTGCTTACCCCAGAAGTGGGATATTTAAGGTCACCGTAATGAGCTGGAAAAGAACACAGAGATGGACCAGCAAATTAGTTTGAGCAAATGCTCTCTCTCCCTCCTACCCACCAACCAAAATGGTGCAGGCATGGCACAGAAGGGCTAAGGGGTAAAGCACAGAGTCTTACGGGGACAAGGGGCAGTGGGAGCTATAGCCCTGCTACACTTGGTTTTCACTGTTCGTGTACTCTTGCCCACAAATAAAACAGTAATTGATTCAGTGCTGGGTCAGGTTAACAGAAAGAAAGTGCAGAATTTTGCCTTACTCCTGCCATATTGATGAAATGCTCCAGTATACATGGAAAAAAAAAAAAAAAAAAAGACTTTCATAGGTAGAGCTACATGATTTTATACTTCCATGAAAATAATCTGTAAACATTCCAGTTGGATTAATTTTACAATAGTATATGTACAGAAACATATTGGCCAGCCACTGTTCTTTCTTAGTAATGTATTACAGTAGACTTTACAAATAATTTTGTGTTGAAATTGTATCTAAATATTTTAAGTTTTGTCCTTTCATTTGCCTGAATTAGTTTATTACTGAAATTCTTAACATAAACTTATATGTAAGAAAAGTCCTTGCAACATGCTGAATTTCTGTGCTCTCAATGGACAGAAAAAGTGAACGGTAAAATTGAAGTGTTGATTTCTCCCCACCCCTGTAGGGAATGTTTGATTTTAAAATCTAAAGATTGAATATGTATATACTAACTAGTATCTGGTAAATAGCAAACAAACCAAAGCCATTCCTTCTCATTATGTCTAGGATAAGACATATTCGATGTTCAACAATTCAGTTTAATCTGTAATACCATGTAATTCAGAGTTAATGTACCTAGTATGCAAAGCTGCCCAAGCTTACACTGCAAATCTCCAGGTGTCCTGTCTGAATAAACAACTTAAGAGCATTATGGAATATGAATCTGTATTTTCAGAATCTTTGCTACATTCCATTTCACGAATAGGACAGCGCAAAATCCAGTGATATCAGGGAACACCTACTCTGTGCTGGAACAGGAGCTCCATATACAACCAAGGGTGGCATACATAACATACTGTAACTATTAAAGTGTAACACTGTTTTACCCTTTTTAGCTTATTCATACAGGCAAATGAAAGCAGTAAAAGACAATGTTTTGATTACTGTAATTTTTACAGTATTCTTAGATAAAGTATTTTACAGTATTTTTAGATAAAGACTTGAAAATTTTTGGTCAATTGAAATTTTTATTGTGTGCAAGATCTGACACCGCACAGAACTCAACTCTTGCCTTTGGTAGGTAGTTTATATCACCTAGAAGCTTCCAAATCTTGTCTTGAAGTGTGACATTAGTTACTGTTCATTTGTGCCATGCAATATTAACCTGCAAAGTCAGGTGCTTGCTTTTCTATGTATATACATGCATATATACCCTCCTGTTTTACAAAAAATGCATTTTGAATTGGACAACAAACTGGAAACTCAATTTCCAATCAAATGTCTTTCAGCACTTGAAAAGCTTCACTGGCAGGCAGCTTCACATAGAAAAATTGATCCAAAAGAATGAATGATGGTATACATCAGAAAAAGATTAAGTGCATGCCTGAAAACCTTGCTTTTCAATTTACTACTTTAAAAAGTGCAAGTAGTACCCCTTTCTAATAAGCATCTACACTGATGTCTGCAGAAATTACTTCAAAATAAATGTTAATCACTGCCATATTTCTGGTGTCAGTGAATATACTCATGTTTTGTCACAGTGTAACCCATGTAAATGACTTAAAAAAGCAGAAGTAGTAATATCAAATCAACATAGATTTACAGTAGCTATAACTACAGACATGCATTTAAAACTCCTAGTGAAAATAATACATACAATTCAGTGTGATCAGGCTGGTAAGTATATAGCTATATACTTTTTAAAAATAGGCAGCAAGTCAGGAAGAGATTCAGCTATATTCTACAGCTGACTGAATATATTCTACACATTTTCCTGCACTTTTTATTCCTTTTTAATGTAAAAGAGCAGAACCAAGCATATAACTAGTTTCTTTAATTAAAAATCACAAGATTCTTTTTTACAGCTCTGCAAGGAAAAGCTTTAGAGTGTGTACCCCACAGGCAATAATATAGTCAGGAAGGGGCTTATGGATATTGTGCTTGCACTGGATGCAAAATATTTAATCTCTAGATACAGACATAATACACAGCAGAGGTTTAGGCTGGGATTCAAACAATTATTGAGCTTTTATCTTTTACCTCCTGTATATCCTGGCTTTTATTTTGGCATAGATTTCACCCACATCTGAACCAAAAATACAGACAAAAGGGTGTTAAACCCCAAAGAATTCCAGTACAGATCACATTTTGCCTTTTCATAAAGTTTTCCTTCTCCATTTCCTAGAAACTAGAAAGCATCTAGATATAGTGTCTTGACTTCAGTGAACTGTGAATCCCTGTAAAAGGAATTCAGAGTTCAGTCCGAAATGATGACACATTCATAGCTTTACACATTACATCTGTTAATATTTAGGAAGGGCAAGGGAAGAAAAATCAAGCAATAATTCTATGTTAAGTCATAGTGTTAATGTAACATTAAGCAGTTGTGGAAAGCAGGTGAAAAAAAATGCAACTGTTATTTACTTCTTATTGTTACATCTATTACAGTAATGACTAACTGTACATTTATAGTATAAGACAGGTTTTACATGGTAACCATAAAAGTTAAAATCTGATGTTTCTAAAGAAAACATCAGAATATGCATATATAACTAAATGGAGTAAAGTACTGTATTATATTTGATAAACTTATTTTTCTTTAAATTCTATACAAACAAAAAACATTTCACATACCTTTGAAATGTTACTTGAACGACTTGTGGAACGCCCTGGGGATTTGTCATTCTGGAAAACAAAATAAGATTTAAAAAGTTATGATGTAATTCAAATTCCACCTAACAAGGTGTTGTGATTGTGAGTGCATAGTTGTCCTCTATTCTTCTTCAGTTTGACTACTGACTGTACAATGGAAGACGCTCAACAAATAAACCATTATGATATTCATGCAAATTACATCAGTAAAAGTTGGGAAAATGCTCTGTAAGAAATTGTTAGCACTTAATTACTGTTGGTTTATTTTGCAGCTTTTTTTAACATTTAGAGTGGAAAATTAATATATCATCACAGCTTCTCATGAAAACTGGTACTCTTATATGAAGAGGAATATTTCATGACAGATAATAAAAATCTACCTAGCCACACTGGACACATCCCTGCTCAAAAAGTTGAATTCATCCTTTCAGGGAAACTAAAACAGTACTAGATGACTTCCTGGCCAGACATGTTCTGAGAACACATTGTAACCAGTCACAGATGTAGTTCAATTTAACACCTACCCCTCCATCCCCTCTCAGTCATGCAAAAAATACATACACACAAACCAAAACCACAGGCTGACATCCATTAATAAATTATAGGTTGCATAGCTACATTTCTATAGCACAATGTTTTTTTTCTGGTAATCCAGAGGAGGAAGTGAAGCAGTGGTTCAATAATCTGTTCAGTATTTACACTCGCCCAGCAATGGATTCAGCTTCATTTACACTGAAAAGGTAAAAGATATTTCAGAAACAGTGCTCATCCCCTTAGTAAATGCACATATCTTAACGAGGTCATATTTTTCTCAGCACTGAAAATGTAGGTTCAAACACTCAGGTGAAATGTTCATATAAACAAGATTGATTTTTATGTAGAAGGGATTGAACTAGATACCATTTGTGCAAGTTTTTTAGATAATCTACTTGGGGGGACGGGGGGACAAAACCCCAAGTAGACCTTCCACCTGTGCAGCTTAATTTGCAATGCATGCATCACTGTAGCAGACTGACATATACATTGATAATTTCATGCATACATGTATAGAAAAGGCTTTCAACTTGACTATGACCCACGTCTCCTCGTCCTTCATTTAAAGAAGTACAGAAAAATACAGAAGCTCAGTTAAAAAAGGCTAAATTTCATGCTCCATTAATGCACATGTCTAGTCTAGAAATTAGTATTGACCCGATAATTTGTAGCACAGAACAGTTTTGCAATGGCAAAAATGAACAAAAAAAAGCCCCTTAGGCATTTTTTCCCATTTTTATATTTAAAAAGCTGCTTCGATCTCAACCCCAGTAAAAACATCCCTATGAAATAGTTTCAAGCATACTTGTTTCATGTAACTACTGTATCTCTCTTCCTTCAGACTGTAGGTAGCTTATGTTTTTGTTCCATCCCCCAGCATGATCAATTCTTTGCACTGCAAATATAATACTAATATACTGAACTAACTCCCTTTTTACTTTGTCTTCATTAGCTCTAAAGTCACACAATGGACTCTTGCCCTCAAAAAACACAGCATCACTGAACTCCTTGACTATACATCACTCTCCGTTTTATTCTACCACACCAGTTAATTCTCACAACTTAACCACCTTCAGGTTTGTGTGTCAGTTTCTTCTTTTTTAGGAAGAATTTAAAAAAAAATAAAAAAAATCCTCAAGTAATGCACTCATTTATTACATCTTGTCCTTGAGGTTGGCCCAGCTTTGAACAGGGAAGTGAACCCAATGATTCTTTCTGACCTGAAGAATTCTGTGATTCAATTATTACTTCTGTGATATATTATCCACTGTAGCTTTGGTAATAAATAACTAATTGCTTATCCTCTCTAGACAACATTAAATATATACAGTTTCGAGTATCTTCATTTATATCCATAGAAAATACACTTTGGGTATTCTGGGTCAATGTTCAGAGAAGCTTTGCTTTGACCTCAAAATAATAGAGGTTACGGACCCATGAAATTAATTCCCCTTCTGTAGTTAGAAATTATGAATGGGGATCATAGCTGAGAAACTCCACACTAAAAGCATGCAACCTTTATCCTCAATCACTTGGACTAAAGAAATATTTTGTATTTTCTGATGGTGTAGTGAACTCTGCAACTCTAACTCCCTTTCTTTTAACAGTCTGTCTTCCAAGATTCATTTTCAAAATCTGTTTTCTGACTACAGCTCTCTAGGCTTCTGACATCATCCATTCTTCACTATGGCACATATCTCCTCCACTTTAGTTACAACAATCTGACTGCCTAACTGGAAACTGCTACCATCCACACTCTGCAAAGGACTCTCATACACTGAATGGTCTTAAATTGAGAGAAAGAGTGCTGGCCCTACAGCTTTGGGAAAAATAAATAAATTTCATCATAATGTCCAAGTTCAGGTATTTCATGGTGATTTATTCTGAAGAGCATATAAATAAAATATAAAATGTTGCACTAAATAACCATACAGATATTGAAGATAGAATTCTTCATTCAGGTTCACATTGAACTTGAATAGCTGTTCATGCAGAGAAAAAACAGAATAGAAAAGTTATGCCAAAATGTCTTTGGAAATGTGTCCTTAAAGAATGTCTGGTGCTTTTATTTTAACAGTTTATGTTTACAAAGTACTCACATTATTAAGAATAAATGATGCCCTTTCTTACTGTAACAGAAAGTATCTTTATTGAAGAATGTTTTTCCTACAAGCTTGCTAAACACTAGTAAAAAGATTTTCCCACACATTCAATATTAATTTACATTTGAAAGGTTACATCCAAAGAAATATATGTTCAAGCATCTATACGTATTTTTGTATATCAAGGAAATATCATGTCCTTCTAATCAGATTATTTCAAATAAAGTAGCATTCCTCTTTTAGAGTTAAACCTTCTCAGCAGGAATTATTTAATGCCTGTAACAAGGGTTCTTGATCTCCCTTACTGAGTTTTCTAAATATATATATACAGAATTCTGGCCCTTGAGCAAAGCGAAAACAAACTATTCAGAGAGAGCTCTTGCTAAATTCTCAAACTGTCTTTTCTCCAGTCAAGAAAACAGCTAAACAATTCTCCTCCTGGACATGATAGGTATGAGCTTTTTGGGTTGTATGCTGTATTATGCAGTCCACACTCAAATGCTGCTCTGCATTTCCAGACATCCTGTACCACCAATATCTCATCTCTTCTGTCTTCTGTTACATCCTGCAAACACTCATCAGGTATCTCTTCAAAACTGTGATAGCAGAGAATCCAGTTCCTGTAACTATTCCACTAGAATATCAAGAAAAATAGGTCTGTGTTTGTAAATTTCCTAAGAATTCAGTTTTACCAAGATCATTTACGAGGATATCATTGAAAATGCAACTCATCCTTCAATATAAATTCTGGGAGGAAGACAAAGGAGAAATAATGCCATGAAATTTCAGATTATGACATGTTCATAAAACTGCTTTGGGAGGAATGTTATATGCACCTGTCCCACCTCATCATACCAAGCAAACAACCCTGTATATAATAAGGAATTAAAATAATAAAAAAATAATTGCAAAATCTCTCTTTTTGTGACAGTAAATTACCTCCTAAGCTTTCATTTCTTCACAGGACCGGGCTATTGAACTGATATTATTTGCAGTGACCAGCTTTAAATTTAAGACCATTAAACTTTCTGATGCATAAAGATACAGTTTTTCCCAACTTGCAAATGTGACTTACATTGCTGACAAGCAGATTTTTTATTAAAGCAAGAGAAGAAAACTCTGGCTGGGTAGAGAAACAGGCTAGTAATAACAAATTCCTGTAATACTGCTGTGAACAGTTCAGGATCTCAAAGAGGAAAGAGGTAGGTTAGATGGCTGCTTTTTGACTCACACTAAATATTCACATGCATGTTTAACGATTTTAAGTCTTGCTGGGTAGCAATGTGCTTTTTAAACTTAACTAATCCATTTGTCTAGTTCCTTTCTTTTATCTGCCCCTTGCTCTGCTCTGGCTCTGAGCATGACTCAGGCTGACCTAAGCAGCTTGCTAACAAACTGCACTTCATCTCTCTGAAGAGAGCACAATAGCATCAAGACCAAATCACAGTATTTCAACTCACAGGAGAATCTTAAACAACTTCTGTCACACACATACACCCAACCCACCCCCCCAAAAAACCCCTTTGCACAGAACACTTCAGCTTTGTTTTCTCTTCTGTAGGTTCTAATCTTTGCATCCCAGTGGTACAATGTGCTGCTTCACGTATCTGCACACAGTCCTTGGGCTTACAAGTTCTATACGTGACTGTAACAACAGATTTTCTTCTAGAAGTCATATCACAACATATCACAAAAACCAATGCCTCTTAAATGTAAGCACAACACATGCAATACAAACGTGGGTTTGCCTGCCTAAAGTCCCTTTCCACCTAGTAGTCCCTCACTGCATCTGCGCAAGAGCCTCCTTTCAGCACCTTTTCACTTCTGGAATCTTGAGTAGCAGCAGAAAGTGCTTTCACACTCTACAACCTGAGCTATCAGATATGCAGATGAACTCAACAAGCAATGTCAGTCACTGGAAATCTAAAGCGCAGGAATTATCTAAATTATGTGCGATCTCGATATATTTATTTCAATACCTCTGCATGAAAATGGAAAGACAAAAACACAAAACAGGCAACATTTGCTTTAACTGATAAACATAAATTCCAATGTCCATAATTAACTAAGACATACACACACTCTGTAATTACTGAGCATCATGCATAATTTTACTGTGGAACACAGAATGTTTTCAATACCAAAGAACTCACAGAAGGAAAGTCTGCTGGGAATACTAAAGACTGTGATGCAGATGCAGCCGTTAATTAAAATAATATCGAATTATAAATAAGAATATTAATTAAAATATCAGCAAAACGCATACAGTATAATATGTATTGTTTATATTATTCATATGTACTCTATCACATTATATATAAAACTTCTAAATGGATGTAACTATCTATCTACGAATGTATTTACATGTATAGATATGTAAATGTATTCACTCTTTTC